CTCTACACTAGTATCGGTTGATATCAGCAAATACTTAAAGCTGTAGTATCAGAAATAATAAACTAACCTAAGATAATTTTAGTGAGTTAATTGTAGAATCTTCATGATGATAATAGTTATGTAGGGATGTGGAGCGAGACAGATGAATCGTCCTGTAGAGCAGAGGGAGGAACAGCTGCTGAGAATGAGTCCTAGTCGATAAAGGCGATGGAGTTTCTTGTAGGCCTTCTCCAGTTTCTCTGCTTGACCTCTACCACAGCCGATCGCTTTCTGCTGCAGCGCTGCCACACACACACACACACACACACAATGTCATAGAGCTGCTCCACCAAAATATCATAATCCCATTTGTTATTGGTGTATATAATCAGACTGAAGATACATATTGTCTACCTATCCCACCCATTCCTCTTATTGGTCAAGAATTTAAGCAATCACAGTTTAGATTTATAAACTCTGAACAGGAATGCATGTTTTAGTTAAAGGAAATATATAGCTACCAAATGTACATGCATACATTATAGGGTGCCTTCATACATGTTTGTGTTTGATCACGTTTGAGACCAGTTTGAGTCCAATGAGCAATGGCCCACTGGACTCACTTGGGTAGCTGATACTGACAATTTTGCTGGATGGATCGGATTGGTGTATAAGATAATTTACTAGCCAATGTTGGCCCAAAACATCTCATAATATTATTAAACTTGTATTTTTCAAAACTGTTCTGTAGTTATTTACCATATGATGTTTATGTTTGAAGGAAATAAATTATATTTTCTTTCTCTGCTCTGGTATCAATTGATATTGACATCGGCAGATACTTAAAACCAAAGGATCAACACTGGTGTTGGAACTGAAAAAGTTGGATCGCTGCAACTTTATTTAGAACCAATTTAGATGATTGTGAAAGTGTGAAGCACCAATAATAATAATATTCATCTTGAAGTTATGGAGTGACTATTGTTTTACCATACCAGTACTTCTTTTATTTATTAGTGGGAATAGTGTTTATTTGCTCCATGGATCTTCGTACTACAATCATAATCCATTGATCTCATCAGATCACTTGTTCATTTAGAATATGATTTAATTAAGCATTTTCTGTATGTTTTTTCTTCTTCTTTTTTTTTTCAAATTGTTACTTAAAATCTGATTCAGTGCACCTAAGCCAAGGGAGTGCCCATGAGTTACTGCAGGAACATGTATCTGAAATGATCCCAGGTTTACCTGTATCAACAACACTATTAAAGTCCCTTGTGTTGGGTTTATTGGCTTATTGCTTCAGTAATGACATGTCAGGAAAAATAACTGTGTTTTCGTCTGAAGGTTGTCATCTAGTTTGAGAGGAGCTCCATTATTACAGCTCTCATGAGGAAGCCACAATAACACCTGTTTTGTTTGACAGTCAGTTGGAATGAGGGGCTGGACTCAGGTGTGGTGCCTGCAGATTACCACACACATAAACACTCGCAAACCAATATACACCACAGTGAAGGCAGAAGGTGCTTTGTAATCCCAAATCATGGTTTAAACAGTTTTACCATTTTAACCAATATAAGAACAGTGGCTTTAAAAATATGTAATAGTCATTTTTTCTAGCAATTTCCACTCTATTTAGAAAACACACACTCATGCATTCTGGTTGTTCGATCTAGAGACATGATTAAACTTTGTGAACAATGCCATTTGCCACTCTTTGTATTTGCAGTAACATTAACTGAACCGACCAACATTATCAGTCTGAATATTTTAAGTCATGTGTGTATTAAGGAAATCTCTATGTGAATTTATTGTGAATTCAGTTGTGGTCTTGATTGTAAATACAGTAGATACAGTAGACTGTCCATTTCACTGTCCTAGGCCACACCCAAATCCAACAGTTGCCTCCAGATAACTAGAAAAGTAAAAGCAAAACAATTTACACCACTACTACAGCAAGAAGTACTGAGCAACCTACCTATAGGAATAACTTGGATTAGAAAGAATCACACATCCAAAAATTGCAGTTTTTACACTTGCATAGGGCAAATACACATGTGGTGTGGCCAGGCCCTTTTTTTTTTTAAATTTGTTTTATGTGATCAAATCTGTATTAACTTAATTAATCAACATTTATTCACACCAAGTTAAAGCAGATTACATTCATGTTCAAAATGATCAGTTATTGTGGTAACACTATACACTATTTATAGCTTTAATAAACTATGAGGAAAGATTTCATATTGAAGAAATAGCCTTTAAGGAATGAGTCAGGCTTAATAACTACTTAATTAAGGGTTAGGAATTAAGATAGGATGAGAGAACCTTTATTTGGCCCACAATGGGGAAATTTCAGTGTTGCAATGCAACAGTTTATAAACAGCAAGAGAATAGAAATAGAAAAATGCAGGAACATGTATATAGAAATAGTGGAAAATTAAACACTACACTGGGCAAGTATAATAAAATATAACAGTCTGTTAATTATGAATTAAGTCTTTAAGGCTTTTTAAATGTTACTGCTGTTTTTGCATCAGCTACATCAAAACACATAACTCAAAGGACATTTAAAGGTTATATGGAACACAATGAGGTGCAAACTCTTTTCTCATGTAACATATCAAACCAGACTAGCCTCAGAGTGAAGTGGATAGATCCCCCTCTCAGGCTTCAGAGAAACTTTACACCACTATCATCCAAACAAAGTATTTTTAGTGCTGCTTGAGGACAAAAATCAATATCTTTAAGCTCACGAATAATGGACATCATACTGCCTGTTATGAAGAATCTCCATTGAATTCCTTTACCTAGAAGCCCCAAGTGGACCCATGTTAATAGGTTCATTGTAAATCTTCTGGCCTGTTTAGTGTGAAATGGATGTGTCTCACTTAGTCCGCTCTCATGGTATTTAGGGCCCTGAGAAGCTGACATCGTGATTTCCTGTTGATGATGTGAGTAACAGTAAGTAAGTGACAGGCCAGAATAGGTTTTCACGTTGGTGGTGAGGCGGTGAGCATGTCCGCTTGAGCATTAATGGTCGGGTGTGGGATGGTGGGGGAGTAGGTGGGGGTTGGGAGGGGTGAGTGGGCAGGACGAGATGGACAAAGTTGCTTTTAGTCTCGGTAATGGCTCCCTGAGGGTAAGGGAAATGACCAAGTGGTGTGCCATCTCTCTATGTGCATTAGGCACTGGTTTATGTTTGCTGTATTAGAGGATGTGCTGATTTCATTGGAGGTACAACATCTCTTGTAGGGTTTAGGCAACAAACTGCTAGTTGGCTGCATTCACACTTGTTCTGGGTTTGCTCCTGTTTTTGTTACCTAGTTTTGTCCTACTTTAGACTTAGATTGGTCCTGTTCTAGCCCTGGTCTTGTCCAGGTTTATTTTTGTTTATAGTCTGAGTTTTGATGTGGTGTGCTTGCCTAAATTTCATTTGTTGATTTTTTTCCAGGCAGATAACTGGCACTAATATTCTAGTTGGATTGGTTACAGTGATATTTTTTCTGCTGTGCTTGAACTTTATATTTCAACACTGAAATATCAAACACTGAAATAAAGGTTCTTATCTTACTGTGGCGAGCGGGGCATCCGGGAGGGGTGTGAGGAGCACCCCAAAGTAAGATAATCAACATAAAACCAACAACGCCACTGGGCGTAGCCCAGAACTAAAACTAAATTTACTAAACTAAAAGGCTCACAGGTTCGTTAATTGACAGACAGAGACAAGTGACTTACAAAACATGAAATTATTTATTATTGCCATAATTCATTTGTTAGATTAACTTTAAGAGTAGACTATTCACTGTTCACATAACTGCCGATAACAGTCACCAAAAGCAGCGGTACGGTGATTTTGTCCTTAAAATTAAAAAAACACAGTAAAACAAAGCAGCAGCTCGTTCACAGGGCCACCGCTCCATCAGATGACGTGCCGAAGACCACCCTGGACCCTAAAATGAACATTATATTTTATCTTTCACTTGGTGGTAGCCCCATACATGAACCTAAACCAGTGACCAGCCAACGTACCACAAAACACACGCTTCTACATCCACGAGGCTTGACGCCGAGCGGCCGGGGCATCTGACAGCAACACCGACCCAACCGTGGACAGCGGCTAACAGTGGCGCTTGTGGCGATCAACAGCAAATACATGCAGGAGCTTTACTCACGAGCCATAACTTCGATCGGGCGCGTCGAGACTCTAGGAGCGGTGGCACTACAATAAAGCCACACATTAAATTATAAAATTGTAATTGTAATTAGAGAACAGCGGTTGTTTACCTGTGCGCGACAAGGCGGAGCCCTATCCCGGAAGTGCGCCGAGGTCAGAGAACGAGACGCTACGGGGAGTGCCCTTTTATAAGCCCAGGCGCCACCTGGTGGCAGAAGGCAGCAGGCGCGCACTGCTACATTACTATAACCTCAGCCTAAAAATGTTCTCATCCAACAATCCTGTATTGCTAATAAGTTAGTTGTTTGATTCCTTAGCCTAAAACACATACATGAACAGCTAGGTGTCCTGACCAAGTCTAGCCCAAGATTTAAAAATGGTTTCTCAGGCACTGTAGTTTGGTTGCCCTCTCAATCTTGACAGATTCTCATCTCAAATAGGCTTTTGTGACTTTACGATACATTTTGATAGATTCATGCATGTTGTATTGTTCTGCATTCACAAGCTTGAGTGCTCTGAAATTGTATGTTTTCACCTACTCCCTTAAAAATGTCATGTCATACATTGGGTTATCGAATTTACCGATTTTTCAACAGTAAAAACAGGTGAGTGCTTGCGTCTGTGAAATTTCACCATACAGAGGTGTGGTTTATCAATTCTCCAGTTTTGAACAGGACCTGTTTCTACTAAGCCCTATTAAAACAGCATTGCTGTTTCTGATGGACATGCATCTGGTATATTCTTTGACCAATATTTAATTCACTATTCACCATTCATTCACACACCAAATCTTTTTCCTTTAATTAACATGTCTATCAAGGCTGACTCTGCTCTTTGTCCTTTCCAGCCACCCCTACCCTGTCCCCCCCTCCATTTGTCACCTCCCCCATGAGCACTGAGGGAGAAGATGATGGGGATTTCTTTGTAGACCCACCCCTGCCATTGCCCACTGACAGCACCACAACCACCACAGGAGGGGACTCCCGACAGCCCATTTACCAGGGCCTGAATGACAAGCTTATCCCTGTCTACTGCTCCATCCTGGCATCTGTAGTCGGGGGTCTGGTGGCCTTTATCATATTTAAAAGGTAGGGATCTGAATTCCATATTTGGCATGTGCACTCACCTTTTGCAGCAATTGCAGCAGCATGAGTGTTATGTATAATAGTCTACATTGACAAGGGTTGTCAAAAGTATTGTAAATAAGATACTAATCATTTATCAGAACACGTATAAGCTCACATAGACTAGGTGGACCACTGACGCAGACAGATATAAGGCATGTTAAAGAAAGGACTATAATTTATTATCACTGTGGTATCGTAATCAGTATTGAGTATTGAGTCTATTCTTTAGTATAGAAATAGTTTTAAATTTTAGTATCAAGAAAACACTAATGTTGACCCCATTTAATAAAGTGTTTCTCAAATTATTTTTGGCATCAAGTTCCTGTCTTGCCTAATAATTTCATACCTGTTATTTTTCAATTTTATCTTCAGTTTATAATATTATACGGATTGGGATTGGTCATATATCAAATGTTATTTCTTTTGCCCATTTTGATCCCCCTGTATAGTAGAGCCCGACCGATATGGATTTTGCTGTGGCCGATATGAAACCGATATAATGGGAGTTGGCGCTGCCGATAGCCGATATATTTAGTGATGTAAAAATTCACTGTAAATGTTGAATTGTTTAAAAAACTTAGGTTTGGCTCTGGTGGATTTTAAATTGGGTTTATTTAGGCAACATTTATTGTTATTCTGCCTCTTTACATCATATTTACAGACAGTAGGTTGGCTTAATGGCATTTTTGCATCACATTCTAGACACTAGTGATGGGTATTCCAGTTCTTTTTAGAGAACCGGCTCTTTTGGCTCGGCTCACTAAAACCTGCTGGTTCTTTTGGCTCCCAAGTGGCTCTTCAGATTGTTTTGTTGCAAGCAGGACTAAAGCACGTCTAAAGCAGGACTGAATCAGGACTGAACCAGGTCTAAACCAGGACTGAAAAAGGACTAAACCGGGACTTATTTATTTTATGCTAAACTACAGTCAAATATGCTCGTTTTTTTAATTTTTATTTTCTTTAATCCTACGTACACGCAAATTTCTCAAAGTTTCGTTTTGAGCCGCTGCCGCTGTCAAACCACGAATCACGCGGCGTGAAGAGAAAAAAAGTGAGAGAAAGAGAAAACACGGCTCCCAATAAGGATCAGGCTCCCGTTGTTCCCTTTAAAGAGCCGGTTCTAAGAGTCATTTCGTTCGCGACGGACCCATAACTAGTAAAGAAAGTAGCGCTATTAGCCTTTAGCCGTAAATACGTGCGCGCCGCGGTAATTAATTATATGCGCAAATGTCATAATTCACACGTCTGTTCACAGCTCATTTACATATCAGTGCAGGTCCAGTAACAAATATACGACCAATATAGTCACTTTAGAACAGACCAATAGAAAACAGTCTGTTTATCTGCGTGAGCTACAGCAGCTAACCCATAACAAATGACAAAAACTAGCTTCAGAGTCGACATATTTCCAACACTCACCGCTCATACAGGCTCCTCCTCACATCACAAATCTGCACTAATAAATGTCCTTTTAATCCAGACTCAAACCGATTGTCCGTAAAAAGAATATAATCTCAGTGTTTGGATCTGTATCTGCGAGTGTAAACAAACACACGTGAGTGACGCGACTCTGTGGTGTGTTCAGGGACAGTACGGACACACACAGACAAATGACTCCGTAGATAAATACTGATGTGGAGCCACATATTAGGACATTTATCTGTCTGTAAATTGGATTAAATTAACAGAATGTAGAGAGTCTAAGCTTTATAACGAGGTATAACATGCCCACGTGAAATATCGGCCCCTATCAGCAAGCATATCGGCCGATAGCCGATATGCCTAAAGTTGCCGATAATATCGGCCAACCGATATATCGGTCGGGCTCTACTGTATAGTCCCAGTTGTGTATATGGCTTTTCTGAAATTTATTACTGGGAACATTGCAGTTAATTATTGCAATTTACATCTGTGGTCTGATCATACTGTGGGAATATACTGCAAATAACTCATCTGCATAACTATTTCATTGTTTGTGTTCAACTGTTTTCTATTTAATGCTTTTTCGCACAACTAATGGTAATGTTACTATCTTTCCCTACCATTATAATTGCTACGTTGAACTTGTGTATTGGTCCCAATAAAACTTGATTGGTGGTTTGCAGTGACATGATCTGAATAACATATTTTTTATTTGGTTTAAGGTGGAATAACTGCAAGCAAAACAAACAGGGAGCCAACAACTGTACAGCCAATCCAAATCAGACGCCATCGCCTGAGGGAGAGAAACTGCACAGTGACAGTGGCATCTCAGTGGACAGCCAGAGTCTACAGGAACAGCAGGGGCAGACACAGACACACACAGGTACCAGAAAAAAACAGTACACTCATCTGGTCTATACAGCTTTTTGAGTGCAACACGAATAATGACAAATGCCTTTAACCCAGACTTGTTGCTGCCATTAAATAAAGATACAATCATTAAATAACTAGATATTGTATTTCCATTATTCCTTAGTTAGTACTCGGGTTGTTCATAAACATACCAGCATCTTCAGAAAGTGGCATTATTTGCTTATTGTGAATAAACCAGCTGTTAACCTGGTGAAAAATGTCCCTGGCAACAGGTTTGTATTGTACAAAATCCAACTGTTGGTTTATTTTTAATCAACACTGGATTTAGCCAGTGGAAAAGAATTTTACCTCAGGATTTAGCTCTCTAGGATTTTCAACAACTTTTCAATGTAATGAAGTAGCAAATCAGCAAACAAGGATTGCAACATCCTTTAGTGTTACAACATGCAGTGCAGTTTGGCAGTGTCTGCTCTCGACAAACCTGTTTACATTTTACTTTTAAGTACTTCAAAATCACATGTTTGTTTAACTAATTGAAGCTCCACATACAGAGTAAGTTAAAGAAAACGTTAGCAATAGTTCAGTGTGTAAAATACTAACAAAATCAATTATTTCTAATTAAAATTTTCCTTTTGGAGTTGCCAAAAATATATGTTTGTGAATTTAAACCTGATGCCCTTATAGAATGCTTTGAAAATGAGTGATAACTAGATTACCAAACTCTTATCTTACTTAGCAAATAATAATAACAATTAGAGCCCGACCGATATGGATTTTGTTGTGGCCGATATGAAACCGATATAATGGGAGCTGGAGCTGCCGATAGCCGTTATAATCGCCGATATATTTAGTGATGAAAAAATTCACTGTAAATCTTGAATTGTTTAAAAAACTTAGGTTTGGCTGTAGTGGATTTTAAATTGGGTTTATTTAAGCAACATTTATTGTTCTTCTGCCTCTTTGTGTCATATTTACAGACAGTAGATAACATTCTAGCTACTAGTGATGGGTAGCAGGACTAAAACAGGTCTAAACCAGGACTGAAAAAGGACTAAACCAGGACTAAAACAGATCTAAACCATGTGTAAAACAGGACTAAACCAGAACTGAACCAGGACTGAGAGTCAGGACTTGGTCTTTACCTCTCCCTGTCTCTCGAGCCCAAGATTAGTCTTGGTTTATTCATTTTATTTTATTGTTTTTACAATTGAAGGAGCCCATTGTTTGTTTATTACTAACCAATACTGAGCTTACATAATGAAATGAAGGTATTCCATAAAACTGTACATGGTGTTAAATATAATGTTATTTTATTGGCATAGATTGTAGCACTTATATGTGTCATGTTTTCTGTGTTACATCATATGTGCCTGGGGACTTTTCAGGTTTCTGCTGATGTTGCACAGTTAAGCTTTTAGATCATTTTGTAATAAATCTTATGCATATTTTTTTTCTAATTTTAATAGGACTTAAAACCTGGAATTTGCATTTTTAAAAGTGTCTTTTTTATTTTCAAAAAGGGAGTTGTAGTTTCCAGCTAAGCAATTACTGTTGGTATGTATAGTAATTAGTAAACCAACATATTATTGTATTACAGTAATGTATTAGTATTTATACAGTTAGTTTTTGATCTGGAACACTCTGCCACAATTGAAATTGGATCATTTAAAAGATTAGTCAGTTGACACCACCTATATCTTCATTATATAATTATATAATTACTGTAAAATATTCTCTCAAATTCAAAGAAATTATGAATTAAAAAAAACATGTTTTGCTTATTTTGCCAAATGTAATCCTATAGATTATTAGAGTAGCTTGTACAGTATCTAACTGAAGTGTCATTGCACTTGAGTGACATGTTTATGCAAATGAGGGTGTATGTCTGAAAATAAAAGCCCAGGTAATGAAGCTCGTACTGACAATGACTGTCTACTTGTATAGATCTATGGATATAATGAATGTTCTTTATGTACTAATAATGTAAACTGTACTATAGTTCATGTGAATTACAAAGTTCTTACGTCAAACTAGCCATAAACCAATAATAAAGCTCTTAAACCTAATTCTGCTTTTGAGTGGTGCTCAGTGGGAATATTTACAGACAGTAGATAACATTCTAGCTACTAGTGATGGGTAGCAGGACTAAAGCAGGTCTAAACCAGGACTGAAAAAGGACTAAACCAGGACTAAAAACAGATCTAAAAAAACAGGACTAAAACAGAACTGAACCAGGACTAAACCAGACTGAAAACCAGACTCAGGACTGAGAACTGAGAGTCTGAGAGTCAGGACTTGGTCTTTACCTCTCCCTGTCTCTCGAGCCCAAGATTAGTCTTGGTTTATTCATTTTATACTGAACTACAGCCAAATATGCAAGTTTTTTCTATCCTATGCACATGCAGATTTCTGAAAGTTTCGTTTTGAGCCGCTGCCGCTGTCAAAACTACACACACAGACAAATGACTTCGCAGCATAAATACTGATGCAGATGCAGACATTTATCTGTCTGTAAATCGGATTAAATGAACATAATGTAGAGAGTCTAAGATTTATAACGAGGTATAACATGCCCATGTGAAATATCGGCCCATATCAGTAAGCATATCGGCCGATAGCCGATATATCTCCAGGCGACCATATCAGCCGATAATATCGGCCAACCGATATATCGGTCGGGCTCTAATAACAATAATAATGTGATATGTGATGCATACATCACATAAAAGGGACCAAAGGCTTAATTTTTATTGTAAAAATCACAAGGCCAGATGAACCAGTGACTGCCATGTAAGGATAAAGTCATAAAAAGTTGAAAGTAGAAATAAAATGTGTCTTTCCTTCATATGTAGTTCTTACAATGGATGAGGAGCCCTGTCTGCTGCTGCCTCTTCACACCAGAGAGAAGGTAGAGCAGCTGCTGTTCAGAGGAAGTGCTGGAGAAAACTGCAACATGGATGACAGCGACTGGTCCAACTTGGCCGGTCTCCTGGGATACGAGGAGGAGCGCATTGCCACCTTCAGGCAGGAGGACCATCCCGTCAGGGCGCTGCTTTCTGATTGGGCCAGCAAGGACAGCGCCAGTATCAATGCTCTGTGCACTGCTCTGCGCAAAATTAACAGAGAGGATATTGCTCAGAGTTTAGTCCTAGGTTCGAATCCAACAAAGCCCACTGCCACATCTGTAGTCTGAACACTTCAAGCCTATATTATATACTAAGGCCTTACTCATAGCTCCTATAAGCTCAACTTTTATCTAAAGCCTCGGAAAGCCAGCACCTATCAATCATCAAATTTACAAACCACAATCTACACCAAAAATATTTTAAACATTTAGATGATAAAGCCATTAAATTCCTGTACGTAATTCAATATTTTTATATTTATATATATTTACTCATATAATTGTTTCATGTGTTGACCCTGGATCTGCACCTCTTATTCAAGAAGATTTAAAAGTGATCCAACTGTGACTTTTCCAAAAATGGGGCCGCGGTGGATGTGAGCTTTCAACTTCTTATCTCTGTCTTTCAACCTTTCTGTCAGTGTTCACTTCATTTATAGTTTGTTTGTTTTTTATCAAATGCTCATAATGTCAAAAATCTACCAAAGAGAAGCAGCATGTAACATTTTGTGAAACCTTTGACAAATGACCTGCTAACATTACCAGACAAGACACGCACACCAAATATCTACAAAAAGAGAGACATGGACTTGTTCAAACTCATTCTCAATTTCAACCATTTCAGAGGACATTGATCAGATTTACAAAGTGTTGCACAAACTTGTGACTTGGACAAATGCTGATCAACACTACAAGCCTGCTTGAATCTCCTGTAGAGGATGTAAGAGGAAACAATTCCACATTCAATGTACATTTTTTGTAAATACCAATACCATGCAGTATAGTAACTCCATGCATGCACTATGCAAACATACCACACACGTTTTGCTTCATTTAACTAATGCGCTGTTCTAGGGACCAGATACTGTTATGTCAACATTAGAGCTCACTTTAAGAATGTGTGTACACTATGAACTGGTATGTGTTAGAAAATGAGAGAGGAGCAAAATGCAGAGCCTGAAAGTTTTGTTTTTCTCAGGGTCTCTTATAGATTTACAATCAAATGTAAGCACATTATAGTTAAACCCAATTCATTATTCATACCCTGCTCAAGCTTAATGCATTTCCACATCACAACAAAGGCATTTGCTGTAGCCGTAGATTGCAAAGACAAAACCGTAAGACACTGTAATAATTTACATGTGAAAATCCTTTAACAATTCTTTTGGATGAAAGTAGTGTAGTGATGTTCAAATGTATTCCTGTTGTACAACTGTGGCAGTGGTCTAAGGCTATAGGCTTCACACTCCCCAGACACTTCCTTCAGATCTATCTGTAGTGTAGTGGGCAACAACCTTTATTGCATGCTTTGGGCTGATGGGCCAAACTGGCGTGCCTGGAGGAAACCCGGGAGACATGAGGAGAACATGCAAGCTCGAGTCAGAAAGGTCCCACATCATAAATACTAGAGTTTTTTTGTGGAGAGAATGGCAAATAGAGTTCTCCACAAACCTAAAAGTGAATGAATCAATACTTATTTTTTTGTTTTTGTTTTAGGCTTTCATCCAGATTCAGGGTCTGAATAATTTTACTTCCTACATCCATCTTGCAACTGCTTAAAATCATCACCTGTACAGACCATGTGATACTCTTTGCTTCTGACAATCTTTGAAACAGATGAAACAGAGTGAATTAGGGCGTACGCAAAGGGGGGTGTAATGTTTCCTTATTGTTTGCAACAATGACCTCTGGATGAAAGGCAAGTCAATGGAGACACAAGTCAAAGGATGTGGGATGGACTCGGAGCAAATAGATAAGAGAAAGTAGAGTGGGTTATGTTCAGGTAAAAACAGGAAATTGTATAAATCAAACTGTTTAAGTGTTAGCTGTGGTTATGGCTCTTGAGTTGTGCTGCATGTTGTTTCACACATTCTTCTTACATACAATCACTGGCCACTTTATTTGAATTGTTAAGAAAAGGCTTTTGTTTTGAAATGTTACTTAAAAAATGGGTGGTGATCAGATGACATGCATTACTGAGAGCAAAAATAACATTTGATACTATAGTAAAAAAAAATATCACAATGCCAAGACAATGGAGTAGCTGTATAGACTCCTACTTGAATCAGTGCTATAAATGTCACAAAAGAGGCATGAGAAGGAAAGTGTGCCTAAAACGTGACCAGTGATTGTAAATGTTTTCATTTGAATTTTGTTTTTACAATTGAAGGAGCCCATTGTTTGTTTATTACTAACCAATACTGAGCTTACATAATGAAATGAAGGTATTCCATAAAACTGTACATGGTGTTAAATATAATGTTATTTTATTGGCATAGATTGTAGCACTTATATGTGTCATGTTTTCTGTGTTACATCATATGTGCCTGGGGACTTTTCAGGTTTCTGCTGATGTTGCACAGTTAAGCTTTTAGATCATTTTGTAATAAATCTTATGCATATTTTTTTTCTAATTTTAATAGGACTTAAAACCTGGAATTTGCATTTTTAAAAGTGTCTTTTTTTATTTTCAAAAAGGGAGTTGTAGTTTCCAGCTAAGCAATTACTGTTGGTATGTATAGTAATTAGTAAACCAACATATTATTGTATTACAGTAATGTATTAGTATTTATACAGTTAGTTTTTGATCTGGAACACTCTGCCACAATTGAAATTGGATCATTTAAAAGATTAGTCAGTTGACACCACCTATATCTTCATTATATAATTATATAATTACTGTAAAATATTCTCTCAAATTCAAAGAAATTATGAATAAAAAAAAAACATGTTTTGCTTATTTTGCCAAATGTAATCCTATAGATTATTAGAGTAGCTTGTACAGTATCTAACTGAAGTGTCATTGCACTTGAGTGACATGTTTATGCAAATGAGGGTGTATGTCTGAAAATAAAAGCCCAGGTAATGAAGCTCGTACTGACAATGACTGTCTACTTGTATAGATCTATGGATATAATGAATGTTCTTTATGTACTAATAATGTAAACTGTACTATAGTTCATGTGAATTACAAAGTTCTTACGTCAAACTAGCCATAAACCAATAATAAAGCTCTTAAACCTAATTCTGCTTTTGAGTGGTGCTCAGTGGGAATCTCTGACAATATGTTACATATTCATTTGGGAAAAGCTCTACAGATTATCTGGGACCAATTCATGGTTGCAGTGGAGCAGGGTTTTTTGAATTTCTTTCACCCCGCACTTCCTCTAGCTACTCAGGGGAACTCTTATGTCTTAGGTCTGCCCTGTTGTGGAGTATGCCTAGAGCACCTCCTTAGGGCATTCAAGAGGCCAATCAAAACTATACTATACTACAAGTAATGCTATACTAATGTTATTCTGATCATGTATATTTTTCCCCATCTTCTCATTGTTCCCAACCCTCTGGCCTCAGTTCACATGTTATGCCCCCTGGTCGCTAAAAATGTGTTCATTTTCTATAAGAACCACACAAATCCTTCTGACATGTAATCCTGGGCCAAATGAGACAGACTTATTACCAGTGGGTTCAAAAGCCCTTAAGGAGGAAGTGGAGAGGACTACTTTCTGAGCATGAATTATGGCTTTATGTGGTCATTATACTAAAGGGCAACAGGCTCTTGCCACAGTCAATATGAACAGGCTGTCAGCACAATTTGACTTAGTGTGCTGAGTGATAAGCTAAGGTAATTAGGCATGAAATGACAGGGGTTCCCACTGGTATCATGGTATTGTATGTGAATGAATGGGTTTTCACTCATGTAGTGATTCTAGCATATAAATAATATTGTGGCAGTAAGATCCATAGACTTACTGTTTAGTAGGCTATTTATACTTTATTGATTTCATTGCTGCAGGCTGACAATTAATACAAGAACCTTACATTTTGCATTGATGGAAAATTATTAAACTAGAATTTACTCAAAGTCAAAAAAGTTGATTGATAAACTAAATTTCCTATAAACTTTAAGTATACCTTAAAGGGCCCACATTACACTAGTTTCTGCTCTATGTTATCTTATCAAAAAAAATACCTGGAGTTGTGTTTTGTTTTGTTTAACTCACTAAACCTGCCTATTTAGGCTGAGTTCTCTCAAACTGAACTACTGAAGACTATTCCACCTTGTGATGTCTTGTGGTAATAAAGGAAGTGCTCCACTGTGTTCATACACCTTCATTTGAAATCATTTGGATAGCTTCAGCCTTGGAATTGCCAAGCTTAGAACAGAACAAAAGGTAAAAGCTGTTAACACTACCTCTTGGTGACATATGGTGGAACAGAGCATTTTGAGGTTGAAGATGCAGACATCTAATGCAGGATTACTCAAATTGAGAATGAAAAGAAACACAATGCCAAGTACATTTTTGAGGAGGTAACAACATTCTAACATGACTTAATGTTCACAAGACTACATTTCATGTAATATAGGACCCTTAAGCTTAATTCTTTAAGAGCATGCTGATTACACAGATGATTGCCTTTCACTTCCCGTTACTGTAATACATTTAAACCTGAGAGTCTGTTAGCCTTTCCCAAATTAGAAATGGCACTAGCAGGTCCTGACCCATAACCCAGGCTGTGTTTGTTTTCTAGCTGAACCAAGGTTTTGAATGGGAAACACATTTGGAGCTAACAGTGGCTAACCTCCAGTGAGTTATTAGTGAGGAATGCCTGATGTGTAAAGGGAACCATGTGTGCATCATGACATGTGCTGCTGAGAGTGGCTTGGCTGAGTGTTAAAGTGCAGATGACCACGAGATTAGAGAATCAGTCAAAATTATACAAGTGTTTATATGTTTAATATTATATAAAATAACTGTGGTGGTTCATTGGTAGAGGTAAAATACAGTAGCCTATGATTGATAACTATCGATAAATATAACCACTGGAGAGCACACAGTGCATGGCTGCATTTATATCACCTTTGTGCTGTATTTGGTTTGATAACACAAGAAAGAAGGAAATTAGATTACTCACACTAGATTTAGCTGTTCATAAACCACTTGCTACTACTGATATGCCTTTAAATCTGGTCACTACCATGTGGAAGTGTGTGGCATTAAGCGAAAAAGTGCTTCACACACCAATATATTTTTTTTTATTTTTTGTTGTATATGTCGTCTCTGGACAAAAACAGACCAATAAAAATACTGCATGTATTGTCACACAAACTGTCATTTTGGTTGTCAGCTGATTACTGTGTGATGACTTAAGGATTAAACACTTTGTGTTGCATTTTTGTATGA